CCATCATCTAAAACCTGAATGCACTGAACCGCAGTTTTATCCTAGTATGAGACCCCTCAGTAGTGAGCATCCACGATCCCGCACGCTGGACTCAAACCCAGGACCTTCAGTCTCACGCGAACTCTTAACCTCCAGACCACTAAGTGGGCATCCAATAGTGTTAATGTCTAAATTCAGTCAATCCACGATATTGCGTGATCATCTTCCATTCTTCAGATTATATCGAATCCTACTCTATATACACATACACATCTACAAGAGATCCAATAACTATTTTGAACAATGCCATGCCAAATTACGTAACTGACTAACATCTTTAAAAGTAGTTGAATTTCCAGTAAATTAGTGGCAGTATTTTTTTTTATTAAACGGCAGTGATTACCCTTTCTAAACAAGGAAATAAGTTCTGATGCATATCACACCAAAAGGTTTTCTGATCATCTGGAATTTAAGAAAGCAGAATGAAAAATATGACCTGCTAATTGGTGAAACAGACAATTACGTAGATAGTTCAGTGATCCTTCCAAAGATCTCTATCAAAAGAATGACCACTAGTTTTGAATGATCATCTTTTAATCAAAAATACAAGTAACATTTAGCAGAATTACTAAATGCTTAAGAACATCAATACCTAAGCATGCTAATAATTAGCAGAATTTAGAAAGTTTATGCTTTACAGCTCGACAGTAAACACTGAAGTCCTTAACGATAAGAAAAATTCTAAGAAACATCAATGTATAGTGAGAAATTATTAACTAAATCCAAAACGAATCGTATTAATTATCATTATCAATATCATTGATCTGTTCACAATTCTATTTGATCCGATAAATAATTCAATGTAATACCTTTTTACAGATGTAAAGAACTTACAGGATATAATATACTACTTACTGATGATAAGTAGTATTGATAAAAGCTATTCCTACTTTCAAACAAAGTGTTATATCCCGTGGAGATTTATGAATGGTAAATTTGAGGACTATTTGCGGACCAATACGATAAGTAAATTTCCTATTGTATAATTGTTAAGTAACTTAACTATTCATATTCATGTTCCTTTTATTATGAGTTTTATTTTGACCTTTGAAGTATTATTATACGATTTACTATTCTTGAGTTATCCCTAGTCAATTAATTACTGTTCTCCCTATTCAAAGTCATATTTGGCCAAATCTTGTACAAATGTTATTTTCTATTTTATGGTACGATGTGGTCAGTTTGTTTGGTTTATAAACCCAGTACGTTTTATAATAATGATTCATACTACAGAGGCTGTTATTGGTGTTCTGGACTTAAGTGGTTGGTCTAGGCAGAAAGCAGGACTGATAAGTACTCAAGACTGCTCATACGGCTTTTGTATATCATTGCTTTGATCGATAATTCACTCCTCTGTGATTGGCGGGATTCAGCACGTTCATATATATCAAACAGGGCATGCACCCATTCGACATAACACAAGGTAGTTAACATTAGTTCATTAACAGATTTTGTGAATTGGATAAATCAACGAACCTTACTCACACACTCTCTCTATGCCTTAAAATACTTTAAATAAACTAGTCACCTGTGTAAATAAGTAAACATTCTGTTATTTCAACGGAAAAATTAAACTTTACCAATATTTAACAGTGTAATCCTGAGAGTTTGGATTGAAAAAAGTATTCGAAGCTATACAGAACATGGAATTTATTGCTTTTTAAACGAAGAAATGTACTTCTTTTAACTTCATGTCATGATAGAAAACAATTTCATATCAATCACTGTCAAATGATGAACATGAAATACATTTTGAAGCACACTTGACAACCTTTAGATTCAATCTTCAATTCTGATTAAAACACACTATAGACTACAACATAAATTATGTTATCATTTCATAATATTGCTAATACTTAAGTTACTTTCGTATATAAAGACAAATTAATCTAAAATGAATCGAGTAATGAATATATATATATAGGTAAAAAACGAATCAATAGCTCATGATCACGAATTTAAGGTATTTGTGGCCTTTATAAGTATCGATCTAATGATCATTGGAAGGTTGAATTGATATGAATGGAGAAGATATGAAACCTCGGTAGTTATCTTTTGAGTGAATTAATCTATTCTATTTATATAAAGACAGAACAAATATTGATGCAGAATAGTATGAATTCATTATATTTCGTGGTTTCTCATCAGCTGCTTACAACCAAATATGCATTAGAGTTTTAGCATTGAGGTAATAAATAGGATGCATATTTGGTTGTAAGCAGCTGATGAGAAACCACGAAATATAATGAATTCATACTATTCTGCATCAATATTTGTTCTGTCTCTATTTAAATTCATAAAGGGAACTAACTACATGATATTCTACTTATTTACTAAACAATTGTTTAGTTGGGTTTTTATACAGCCTTAGTTGTAGGCTATACCTTTTCATATATTGTCATAACTTCGTCTGATGAACCTCTTAGACTACTGTTCATCTTAAAGCCGGGTAAAGAAGAAGAGTTGGGAGGTGAATTCAACAACCTCACGTTGTAGAAATTATCTCACTAATCAGAAATTATTGTCATAACTTTCACAGATCGAAAAAAGTTCTTGATTAATTACTAACTGATTACTTAGTTTTTATAGTAAAATGTACTAATTGGGATGTAGTGAATGAGAACACCAGTGAGGTCAATCAAATGTGTTTGAATACAAAATACAGAATGTTTTAGTAGAATCTGAGAACCATACAGTAAATACTTCATTTACAAAATATCAATCAATCGTCTTAGACTTCACTGTTCCTTCGTTTCTACATTAATCACTCTCTGTTCTTGTTCTCTTCTCTTCGATCTTCCCAACCTTCTGTCTCCAGGCATTCCACTTTCGATTGATGATACATACTACTTATATCTGTCGACATCAGTAGCATACACCACAGTGATACTGTCTGGTCTTGTATTTCATATTAGTAATTATGTGGGTTATGTATCGGAATAGATGCCGAAAATGAAGTGCTTAAGACTGCTTATTTGATCTTCAGCTGATGTATTGAAAAGTTTAGAAACTGAGCAATAGTTTTTACTGTAATAGGAAGACGGAGATTATCAGAACTATGTGATATACTAGTGTAATACATTTTGAACAATTTGATCACATATATATTTGTTAAGAACATTCATGCATAAAAACAAAAAGGTCAACTAGACAAATTTAGGTAAGAGGAAACAAAGACAATATAGAAAACAATGTGAAACTCACTACGCTGGATAATAAACTGTTCTCGTCTGAAACCTACCCTGGTAATATTAGCTTATTATCCAGATTGGTGAATTTCACATTGTTCTTCATATTATTTTCTTTATTATTTTTGTTTCTTACCTACATTTGTCTAGTTGACCCTTATATTTTTATGCATAAGTGTTCTTAAGAAGTATATATGTGATCAGATTGTTCAAAATGTATTACACTAATATATCACATAGTTCTGATGATCTTCGTCTGCTTATTACTGCGTCGAGTAAAAGATTTCTTTAAGAAACAATGTATAACTAAAGCCGATTGATTTTTAGACCATAATAGTAATCTATTTGATGAAATATGATTAACTTATTAAATGGCAGGGTAGTTGGTCAATTATTATCAGGTTTTGTAAAAAATAATATTGTTTTTGATAAATTCTTATCAACCGTTCTTGCTTTGAAATAATAATCAAAGAATATAGGCTAATTTGATAGCAAATGCCTAGTTAATAATACCAATAGTTCTATATTAAGACATCCAGTTCAGATGAACCATAAGGCTAACACTAATCAATCAATTGCAGTAGTCTGCTTTATTAATACAAATTCGTCATAGGCGGTTACAGTTCAAATCTTTCAAACTATGGAAATGATTTACAGAAAGAATAAAACAACCAAAACAGTCCATTCAGAGGAATCAGGTTCTGATTCATATCCTATCTGAGAATCAATAATCAGTATTTATCTTGATAATAGAGTCGAATAGGTACACCTCCTGTATGTATACTCTTCCCTTCAATATTTTTTAACATAAATTTATCTGATTTAATTGGTTTGAATGATTTTGTAAACGTTCGTCGTTGATCCTGAACTTATTATTTTTGTTAAAAAGTACTAGTTAAAGACGCTTGGTCATATATCATTGTCATATCACAGAACAGACTAATGTGAGATGCTTCACCTCCTCTAGGCGTTCAACCTGGTAGTCACACGTTTTTCAGTCTTTCCGCACCACCAGAAATTCAGTTTCTACAAACCATCGTCTCCTTTCTTATTTGTCTTTTAGGTATTACCTTCTGTAAGGTATCAATGTCCTATTTATTCAACCTATTATCAAAGGTATCTTCATAAACATTATGTAGTAAAACATTAGAGTTATTTATTATTTTTATTACGTTAAATTATCTGTATTTGTTTTAATCATAATTCTCATGTAAACATTTTAACATTTACAAGCAATGTTTAATTCATCAATTCGTTAGTTAAAGCTGGATTTGCTAGAAAATTTCTCTTGTCACTTGACTATTAATTTAGAACCTGATCATAATTCATTTAAATTAAATATTTTTCAGTATGGGGTTGTGGTGATTGTTAAGTTTTTGAATGAAATCATGCATCAATCGCTGTTAGACCATCATTGAAACCTGGAAGCATTGGACGGCCGTTTCATCCACATATGGCACTCCTCACCAGTACGCGTCCACGATCCTGTACACGGGATTCGAACCTAGAACTTCCAGTCTAGAGCGCGAGAGCTTAACCTCTAAACCACTCAGCTGGCATCCAAGTTTCAAAGGTGTTCTGAGATCAATCTGTTCATAATCTTAATCAAAGGATATTTTTCGTTCTAATATCTTTATCTTAATGAAATGTGAATTCTTAAACAGTTAACAGCTAATTGCTTCATGAAAAGAAATCCCAATGATCAGATATCATTTTCAATCTATTTAAGATTTCCGTAGTAAACAAAAAAGTATATGCGTATATATTACTTACGCGTTCGATAAATGCTATCTTTTGTCGATAATCGTCAATTCTTGATACAAGCTTTTCATTTTCTTCTAATAATTTCGATATTTGTGATCGTAGTAAATCAATTAGATCTTGATTCATCGCTTCACGCAATGGATAATGAAAACAATCTATATCAAAATTGTTATTATTACTATTGCTTGTATTATTGGTAACTGAATTAGCAATAGCATTATTATTATTATCATTAGTAATGTTAGTTGAAATAACTCCAATTTGACTTATATTACCACTGGTACAACTAGTAAAACCACTACCAACACCATCATTATCGATCGATTTAAAAATTTGGATTTTTGTCTCATTCAAAGAAGATGCATTGGAATCCTCCATGTTGTAATATGGATTAATTGTGAGATATTTATTAGGTGTATTTCGATTTGAATTACTTGCTTTGTTATTATTATTATTATTATTATTATTAAAATGTTCTGGTGACCATCTATTGTGACTTAGATTATATTCAGATGATAAATTGTCAAATTTTGAATGATTTGTCATTCTATTAATAGTACTGCTACTAATATTATTGTTTGGATTATTCCCTATTGACTCAATTGAAGATGTTGTAGGTGATAAAATTGAAATTGAATGTTTTCTTGATGTATTATTGCTTTTTGCATTCCAGTTGTCTTCACTTTCAAAAATCATCAGTTATTTAGGATTCAGTTAAATTGTAGCCTACTTTACATACAAAAGAAGAAAAAACAAAGATATGTTATCATTAGTAATGATGATGAGAGGTGTGCAAAGTGTTAAATATAGTTGCATAGTATTATGACAATCTAAAAATAACTCTATAACAATTTACAGTTTAACGGTTAGCAACAAAATATATGACTTGGAAATGAAGACTTTTAAGTTTTGTATATATTTATATGATTATTAAACTCTTTAACGTTTCTATTAGATTCTTCTGTGTTCAAAAGCGGAGTGCCTTCTAAATAATTAAACAGTTCTCAAACATGACTGGTATACACAGATGTTGAAGAGTCAACAACAAATCAGTTATCATCATTCAACATATGAAGGTACATACATACACATCTTTCAGTCATTTGTATACAGTCAAATTTAATTTATTCCAAAGGCTAAAATGAACCGAGGCGTCACTGAAAACCAGTTAGTTATGAGTTTCCACTTTATTCTAATATGAGACTACAAAACACGAGTGGTTGGAAATAGGGTAATCTGGTTTCACTGAGATTTTGCAATGTTACCAAGTTCAAATCTAATAATGTATATATCTAGCTTAAGTAAATTCTCAGAGTTACACGACAATGATCTCGTGTTCACGGGTAGTCTTATACCAATTATTTAAACAATTTTTTAAAGGTTTTTGTTTGGTGATATGACGGTATTTCACTAAAAGAGGTAGTTCAACCCCAGTTTGATAGGATGGGCGAACCCAGATGTATCATGCATATTTTGAACATATATCATTTCAGGGTCGAATGGTTTGTGAGTGAGGTGAGAGGGTACATGCTATTCACTGAAACTATTCGTGTAGCTCGTCAAGGTTTGGTCCAAACATCTGAGGGATATATTAATGTATATATACTAATGAGTTGTGTATATATTAGGTTCAGTTTGCTAATACAATTTGCCAGTTGTTCTTAGTCTTCTCACTCGAGTACTACGTTGGGCTGAAGTTTAGGAAGCATGTATAACAAATGTAAGTGGAACAACCATACAGTCTGAACAGATTTTCAAAATCTCAAATATTTTGCTAATTAATATACGCGTTCATTAGATAGTTACAAGTTTCTTTTTTCTTGAATTCTTGTACCTTTCCATCCATAAGGTATCATTTCCTTTCTTTTTTAGGTAACAGTCCATTTCTCAACAATTTCATGAAGCTTAATGACTTCACAAATCATCCCCTTTATAAAATTAAAGATAATGAGATAAATTGTCATCGTTTTGTTTAAAATTCTATCCCTATCAGAAATATGATTTCATTAGGAGTGTGGTTTAGTTTCAACAGTTTTATCGTTGGAATCAATATCTAGTTGTCCTAATGCTTAGATCTACTAAGAGATCCACATTTCTGGTTAGCGAATACCCGATAGAAAATTATTTTATTGAAGGCCTTCAAGGACATATACAATATGGTGTAGCTCAAAAAAGCAAAACAAAAACATAAATATGAGAAACATTAAAATTTGAAAGGAGATTTTTAATGAAAACTACACTAGGATACGTAGCATGAATAGAAAAGTCACCAAAAGCGCTGGATACAACACACTAAGTGGTCGTTGCAGACGACCTTGGTCATTTTTTAGACATTATTCAAATAATACCACCATACAATAATCTTTGTCAATAGTCACTTAATTTATATCCATATTCATTAACAGAAATATCGTTCATTCAAATAACTGGGAATGTAAACCGTAATGGTAATGTATAATAATTGTTGATTAACATCAAATATAAAATATTCTACAGTATCAGTATACATCAAGAACTTAATTGTTACTATGGAGAAACTTAAAATTCAATAGCATCTAGAATTTGAAATCCTAATCAGTTTAAAATTGATAAAATTTTAATTAAGTCCAGCATTATAACTTCCTTTCTTTTTGCATTTGATTTACTACATAATTGTATGCAAACATTTCAGGCATTTATAAGTTTTTCCCCGTCTATTCTACTGTAGATTATTAGTCTGAATTAGTCTATAGAGGAAATATTATACACACAAGTATCACCTTATGAAAATATATTCTGACATACTAATTTTTTTAAAAAGAAAAAAGAAATTTCTAGAGTAATGAAACATATTATACATCATTATCAGAAGGGGGTTTTGTGGAGATTTTAGTAAATTTATATAGTTGAGACCATGAGTCAATTAAAGCTAGACTACCATGGAAACCTGGAAGCACTGGACGACTGTTTCGTCCTATTGTGGGACTCCTCAGCAGTGCGCATCCATGATACCGCCTCGTGAGATTCGAGATTGGTTGAAGTTAGACATTAACACCGTTGGATGCCGGCTCAATGGTCTATCGGTTAAGTGCTCTGGAGCGAGACTGGTAGGTTCTGGGTTCGAATCTCACGGGGCGGGATCGCGGATTAACACTGCTGAAGAGTCCCACACTCGGACGGAACGGCCATCCAGTGCTTCTAGGTTTTCCTTGGTGATCTAGCTTCAATTGACTCATGATCTCAACTATATAGTATTATATATCACTTAAAAATGTTTTGTTTGTTAAGTTAGATAACCATAATGAACAGGATTTTAGCTTAGAATTGATTCTTGAACAACTGGTCATTTAATGTAAGTTTTCATACTAATATGAAATGAATGAAGTAGTTGAAAATCTAGTAATAATAGGGAGAAATAACTGTATTTTTTGCAGAATATATTTTTTGTTAAGATATAGGCAGTAATTGAATGTGTATACTACATCATTTTTAAGAGCCCACATTCTGTATTTAGAAAACGGTATATCTTATAACAACACAGTGTGTTTGACAATCAATTATCAACCTTTAAATTATCAGCTTTAAGTGTACTTGTTTATATATTCAAATATATTTCTTTGTAAAAAATGTCTGAATCTTAGACTCTAAGGTAATGAAATTGTTATTAGATGGTTTTAGGCAGTCAACTAGAAACAGAATGTATATTGAAATTTAAAAGAAATTATGGTCCTCGTGGAACTCAAACTAACTTGAGTTGCCTCAAGTTTGCAGATACAGTTTGCTTACGAGTGCCACCCGGTATTAATTTCATCCATCTAAATTAGAATATAATGAGTATAATGTCCACATCACTCAGATTAGTGGCCACATTAATACTTGACTAGTGGAATTAACAGTAGGAACTAGAAAAAAAAAGACAATGGCTAATGCTTAGTGATTGATCATTGTAAATCATTCTATTTCTTCACTTCTATACTTAACTAGTGAACTCATACATCACGGGATCAATGAATGAAAAGTGTTTCTTCTGAGTTCAGACGTAAATAGGTACTAAAAGATAAGAACTATGACGACGGAATCGACAGAAAAAACACTTCCTGAGTTGTTGAAAACACATGAAGTAGAACTGATGACTTGTGAATTTAGAACATCAGTTTAAAATATTTCTAAAGTTACACAAACTGAAATAAACTGTCTTGAAGATGTAACAAGATCTTGGTAAGTAATTTCAATCATGCATAGTGTAAATATAACCAAATGACATTAATAAAAATGGAATTCAGCTAAGAAGATTTTTTTTCAACGAAATCATCTAGATAATCTGTACATTAGTATTTATAGTTGTATGGCAAATATATCATTACGTAATCTCATTTGATAAATGGAATCTGGAATCACTTTATTATGCAATCGTTTCTATCGACATATACTTACAATACAACTATGAATACGAATGAACAACGTAAGAAACATTTTCTTAGCTTAATTCTCTTTCTTTTTATTGAACGATACATTAGGCTATTTTAATCATCTTAATAATTATAACAAACTGTACAACACATTAAAGACTCCTTTTTTGAATCTGACAGTTTGATTTACCTTGTTCAACATTTCCAGGAAGATAATATGAATTAATTCATAAACTGTACAATCATATATATATATTCATCTATACAGTTTACGATGATGTATCCGTGTAAAGTTCAAAATGATGCACATATTTGTCAAAGCAAAAGGGCTACATTCAAAGTTTAATTGTTTACACCTTGTTAGAATGAATATATTACTATTATTAAACTATCTAAGCGTAATTGCACACAGTTCAATTTTACAGATTTAAACAAAAATGTGTTATAAAAATTAACAAATATGAATAATACATATATAATATATAGATTACCTTATTATATAGATCTTATTACTTCCTTACTTACTTACTTTACTTACGCCTGTCAGCCCTCGTGGAGGAGCATAGGCCGCTCACCAGCATTATCCATCCAACTCTGTCCTGAGTCTTCCTTTCCAGTTCTTTCCAGTTGCTATTCATCCTTTTCATATCTGCTTCTATTTCCCGGCGTAGTGTGTTCTTTGACCTTCCTCTTTTCCGCTTCCCTTACGGATTCCAAGTTAGGGATTGAGTCGTGATGCACATTGGTGATTTCCTTAATGTATGTCCGATCCACTTCCAACGTCTTTTCCTAATTTCCTCTTCAGCTGGAAGCTGGTTTGTCCTCTCCTATAAAACGCTGTTCCTGATAGTATCCGGCCAGTGGATGTTGAGTATTTTGCGTAGACAACTATTTATAAATATTTGTGCCTTCCTGATGATGGTCGTAGTAGTTCTCCACGTTTCAGCTCCATACAGTAGGACTGTCTTGACGTTCGTATTAAAGATTCTCGCTTTGAAGTTAGTTGACAGTTGCTTTGAGTTCCGTATGTTCTTCAATTGTAGAAATGCTGCCCTTGCTTTGTCAATCCTCGCTTTTAAATCTGCATCCCATCTTCCTTGTTTATCAACGATGCTTGCAAGGTACGTGAATGTTTCCACCTCTTCCAGAGTTTCTCCATCAAGTGTGATTGGTTTGGTGTTCTCCGTGTTGTATTTGAGAATCTTGCTTTTTCCTTTGTGTATGTTTAGGCCTATTGATGCAGAGGTTACTGCTACATTAGTTGTCTTCGTCTGCATTTTCTCATGTGTATGGAATAAGAAGGCTAGGTCATCTAGACCTTATGACGCTCATTCATTATTTATTTTATGACAATAGTATCATTATGTTACATTATTAAACCAACCAGTTTTGATTTTGTGGTCTACTGATATGTGTCCTTTTTGTAGAACGCCCACTATGTATTACCTGATATAAGAATATTTTATTTGAAGTCGAACACTAGAAAAATATTACAGGCAATCAGTAGTCAGGTAGATAAGTATCGCCAACATTCAGTAAAACAACTAAACAAAACATACAATGTACGTTCAAAAAGAAAACATTTTCCCATTACATAACCTTTTAATAATATTCTTAACTCTGTTTATATCATATAAATTATCATCGGTCATTATTATTGGGAAATAAGATTAGTATTTAATAAGTCATTGTTTCACTGATTTTCGTAACCATCTCCTAA